ATATATATATATATATATATTTGTTTAAATTCTTGTGTTAAGTCCGATTAGTGGTTTTAATTTTTTACACTATAATTAATTAATATTTAAAAAATAATGTAAAAATAATTTTTTATATTATTTTTTGGGATAGCTTCTCGTTTCCTTATTTAGGTTAAATGCTTAATATAAAAAAATGGGAGATGGTATAAGGAGAATTTTTTTTACATAATTTTTTATATAATTTTTATATGTCATTAAATAAGTCATTAAATGAGTAGATATTTTTAATATTATGAGTCTCAAATAAATAAAAAATAATTATTTCAATAACATATAAAATTAAATCAAAAAAGAATATAAAAAATTATTTCTAAATCATTTTTAAAAAAATTAATTACAATGTCAAAAATAAACCACTAGTCGAGCTTAACATAATAATTTAAACAAAAAAACTATAAAGTTTCAAACTAAACCTAACTCATTTCTCACTCTAGATGATTTTAATTAATTGGTTAATAAAATTAAAGTTTATTTTTATATTTTTATAAAAAATATAATAAATATATATTTTAACTTATATTTTAAGGATACTTGTTAAAAAAATATTTTTTTAAAATGCTTATATTTTAGTTTTAAGATTTATCTAACCTGTGCACTTAAGATGGAAGTTAAGGGTATAATTAATACATCTTTTTATATTAATTGATATAGAAAATGACAAAAGTTGATATTAATTTTATTACTAATGCTACATGTATTATTTTAATTGAATGTTCAATTAAATAAATGTTAAATTTTATTTTTTAATAATAATTAATAAAAAAAATTGTTTTAAGGACACAAATTAGAAAACCTTTTAATTTTATTATTTTTTTAATAATAGATTTGTTTAATTAAAGGGAAACGATGGCAAAAAAATTAAATAAAATAAAGAGAAACAATGAGGCAAGAAATTTCACCTGCCATGTGGTTGCTTACATGGCAGCATATGGCACCATATGTGAAGTTTCGTCAATAAAACTAACGGAGTTGTGTGGGGTAGATGAAAATCAAACAGTTTTGAAAGTTAATAGATGAGTTTGAAAGAAAATAAAGATTTTAGACTAAAATGAAAAGAAGGTACTAGTTAATAGATGAATTATTAAATTAAGCTGGACTATAAGTATTAGTAGAACTCAAGGTACCTGTGATAGAAATTATTGATGACTCACAACTAATTTTAAAACCATTAGAGGGTGAGTATAAATGCACTAGTTTGTCCTTGGCGCCTTATTTTTGCTCTAGCAGTACAACTTCTGGAAAAGTTTGATAATTTAATCTTAAGGCATGTAACTCAAGATCTGAACACAGAAGCCAATGAGATAGTACAATTGCCTCGGGCTTGAAAATCCCAAAAGGCGCGATGAGAAAAATTGTTGTTGTCGAAAAACAAATTTTGCTATCCATTCACAAGCATGGTATGGCAATTTCTGCTTGTTCTACAAACATAACCCAAATAGATTGGCGTTATCAAATCATAGAGCACCTCAAGAATCCAAATTCTAAGGCTTCAAGGATGATGAGAATGCAAGCCTTGAATTATATTCTGTTGGAAAATGTTCTCTATCATAGAGGGCATGATGAGCTTCTTCTGTGTTGTCTATAACTAAATGAGTACTATTAGATCATGTTAGATGTACATAATAGAATCTACGGTGCACACCAAGTTAGAATTAAGATGTGCTAGTTAATTTGCAAACATAGGTTTTTCTAGTTGTCAATTTTGAACGATTGTTTGGGGGTGTTGGTGATGTAGGTGGATGAGTTAGCAATTGTGACGATGTGGAGGCTGACTAGGATGACACCCGAGAAAATGAAGGGGGTTTTTTCGGTGGCACCCATCTCATATGCAGAAAGCTACATGCTACGGGCCATCCCACTCTGTTGGGCAATGATATCTTGTAGTGAACTTCTCCAGCAAAGCTTTTTAACAAAAAAGATAAATCTTCTGTTGACTCAATGTACTCCAAGAGGGGGGGTGAATTGGAGTTCTAAAAATTCTCCCCTTTTTGCAACCACAACACCCAAATTAAAGAGAGTAGAGAAGAAGAGCTTGCTCAATGATTTATAGAGGTTCGGTCCAACCACTTGGAGCCTAGTCCTCTACCTTGGCTTCACTCACTAAGGATTTCCTCCACACTCTCCACTAACAACAACAAGGGTGGCTTAAAGGAGCCACTCAATCCTTTTACAAGAATATGGGTGTTTCTCTCAAATCTCACCCCTTTACAAGATAAACCCCAAAGATCCTCTCTACAGATCATTCTTGAAGGAATCAACACACCCCCAAGATCACTCACTAATAGCACAAGAAGAGGATTACAAACAAAGATCTCTCAAAGATTAAAATCTCTAGTTAATGCATAAGTTGGTGGGTAAAGATATTCAATATAATGTTCTCCAAACTTCTTCAGATCTGTTACCAACCATATTTATAGCCCCTTCCTTGAAAATAGCCGTTTCTAGCCATTAGAGGTCATTAAATGCTCTGCAGGACACAAAGCTCGATCTGCAGGATTGTCAGGAGAGCCGGCTTAACATTCTAGAGCAGGGTCTGAAGAGCCAGCTTAACATTCTACACTTCCAGAGCCGGCTATCCGGGTTTGCAGATTATTCTGTTTTTCTCAAGAGTCAGCTGCAAAACTTTGAGCCGACTTTGCAACTCCGACTTTAAATACATTAAATAATCTTCAAATCACTCGACCGTTGTGCATTAAATGCACCCTCACAGCCGGCTATAAAGTTGGAGCCGGCTTTGCGTCTTTTCTCCGCGCACGCCAAGCAACGGTCTTCAAATTTTTGCTTGTAGAGCCGGCTGCGCTTCTAAAGCTGGCTCTCTGCACTTCCATTTCACTAGAGCCGGCTGCACTTTACCAAAGCCGACTCTTTGCACATTGAATCCTTTTGGTCTATTTTTAGTGCCATCCAAGTTTACTTGCAATCTTCTGGCAACTTAACTATACACTTAAATAAACCAATTAGTCACTCAAATGTGTTTTGTAATCATCAAAATCATAGGTACAACATCTTCTAGCCAAGCTGGTAGGGCTTAGCGACAATGGTGGGACTCCAAGGATTCAAGATGATTACACAACTATCAAAAACATGATGGAGAGAAGTTGTGTGTTGTTAAGGAAGGGCAACAAAGATGGAAAAGACATGTGGTTCAAAGATTACAACTTGAGAGTCACATTCATACATAAATCATTGTAACATGGTAATAATGACAATAAATGTGGCATCTTTCATCTTTAGTGTATATCCTTACTCTATAATGAACAATCCTCATATTGAAAACAAAAAGCACAACAACTCCACTCTTGAAATTCTTCCAAAGACAAAAGGATAAACTTGAGAATGGTGATGGGAAAAGGAAGGGTGACTGCCTGGGAGCTTATGAATGGAGCACTTGAACCCGTTTTTGATGCTAACCTTGCAACTTGATCGTTTGATGCTCAAGGAGAACTACTCGGAAGCTGAATCTGTAGACTGTTGTTTCCCAGCCATAATATTCTATGAGTTTGGAAATGTTCTGCGGTGTTAGGTGATATTTTGCAGTGTTGGAAAATGTTCTGCAGAGTTGGAGACACAAGAAATCTAGAAAAATGGTGATTTCCGGGGGTTTTAGTGTGCAGGGTAGTGGGTCAAAGGTGGGATATTTTTAAGAGGAAATATGGGTGCTTCAGTAGAAAGGCTGAAGTTGTATCTTCATCTGTTTTTGTGTTGCATGCGTTTATATGTGTTCTGGAAAATGAAGGGTAGATAATATATATATATATATGCAGTGGCATTGTTGTAATTTCTAGTTGATGGCTTAGAGGTGTGCAGATAGGTTTGGGTGAGCTGTTGAATTTTCGGTGGCTCCGGGCATTGCTAGTATCTCTACGGCAGTGGCATCATGAATTGCCTAACGATCCTAGCGAAGCTTCGCTGGTTCTAGTGAAAAACTAAAAATTGTATATTTCTGACAATGCCTTCAGCCATATGAAATCCCAATTTTACGAAGGTGCTTGAGTGTAGTCAGAAAAAACAACACCTGCACAGGATTTAGTAGGTTCCCTAAGCTCTGCATGGGATTTTGGAGGATTCTGCAAGCGAATAGTAATCTTTTGTAGCAGTTTCCAAAGCCATGGAACTTGTGCAGCCACCTCTGCATTAAATATGGTTGTAAGTTGTTGATGGTGACCAACACAACATCTCTGGTTAGTTTTTTTAGTGGGATTTCCAGCCTTTAGTTAGTATCAAATGGTACTATTTCGGAAATCAAGTTTGCTCCCAGATTTTCGCCACCCAACCCTTTCTGGCGAAGTCGAGTAACATCGCCAGTGCCAAGCTTCGCTGGTGCGAACGCCTTGCTTCGTCTGTGCGAATGCCTTGCTTCACCAGACGAGTAGCATTCACCTATCCATGCTTGCCAAGCCATTACCCTCATAGTTTATCTTGAATAATTCCCATGAGCTTGGATTCATGGACTTGTGTTTATCTACACCAATAGCAAAGCACATGTGAATATATGTCCAAGTATTTAAGCATAAGAAACGTATAAATATATGCAGCGAAGGAGGGAACGCCCTTGTGTATTAAAGAGGGCTATGTGGATGAATGTTTGCTACTTCCATTTATTTGTTGGTCATGGCAAATGTCAATATATTGTTATTGTACATGGCTGGCATTGCACCAGGACAAGGAACAAGTGAAATGGGTGTGTATTGTGATATCGTTGTCCCAAGGCAAGCTTTGTTGGCCGGTGATACCTGCTAGCAGATAAGACAGAGAAAATATGTGTTATGAGTTAGGATTATCGGCGATCAGTAATTTTGTCCCTTTGTGTAGAAGAGCGATAATGTGCATGACGTCTGACCATGTTATGTACGTGTTGTGGGGTCAACCATGAATAGTTTCCCCATGGCCAAAGGGACAACAGTGGCTAGCTTTGTCCATGGCTGGAGCGTGAATTATGTGGAATTGGAAGAGCATTCCCACTAATTCGCCAAGCCGCGAAGGGGTAAATCTCATTAAACCAAACTCCGCCATAGTGATGAATATGTACATAGAAGGGTGTAGTTGTCTCCATGGAAAGGGAATGCCAGCCGCATCCATGGCTTCCGATACGACAAGGTGTGATACCACTGACAAATGTTGGCCCTTCTTGTCGTACCCACACTGTCAAAGGGTGGTCCTGGTTGTTGTTGCCCACCGGGCATCGCACCACCATGCACGAGCGGCCACCAAGGGACCTTTCTCATCGATGGCAGCACCAGTTTTCCTCACTGGTATAAATCCAACGGGAACCAACTCAAAGTCACTAGCCCTAAAAGGAGGTAGTTCACTAATGGGACATGGCTATACATGGGGAAAGAAAAGTTAACGACTTCACCTCGGTAATTGTCAAGAGTGATTTTCAATTTTCATGTAGATGCAGGGGCTCATACCTTCAATATTGTCACTTTTGGTTGAGTCTTTACTATTTCAAGCTTCTTTGTCACACTAGGGGTGCCATATGAGACCTTCACACCTCCCTTAGTCTGCAGCAAAATAGAAGGGGGACTTAACAACCATGTTTCGGCATTTCTCAAAATAAGGGATGAGTCCAAATGGCTTACCATAGTAGGTTTTTGTGGTAGAACTTCACTGGCATTAGCCTTATTCGCCGACTCAGTTGTGAAGGTTGCAAGATCACTTCAATCAATTATAGAGTCAACAACATTAAGTATGTCGTCAAGAAGTGGAGGCTCACCTATTTCACTAGCCAAAATTTTTCGGCGAACTTCAAGGTTTGCCAAAGCTTCCTTTATGTTCACTGCAAGGCTTCTGCTCGCTTAGCCTCTTTAGACTTGGATGGAACTTTATCGTCACCAGGAATGGGGATCGGACCAAAGCCTTCGTTGGAAGCTACTGATTGCTCATACAAACATTAAGTCACATGTTGAAGGATCCTTAGCGAGGTAAACAACGACCAAAAGGTATAGACGAAGGACCGAGAAGTAAACTTACCTAGAATGAGGCACTTGAATCATAATACTTCTCACCCAAGTGCCTACCGCCATGAACGGGTCTCAATCTCTTGATCCGCTCAATCACCTCAGGATTTAGATTGCCCCAAGAACTTTCATCGCTTTCACTGTCATGACTTGTATCTTTTTCCTTGGCAATTTTGGCCTTGGAGGGTGTGGGCACTTTAGCCTTACTTTACTTGCTAGTTGGTGAAGCAAAAGTTCTACGCGCTTTGCTCTTAGGTGGATGGGCTGCACTCTTCCTTTTACCCAAAAACAACCTCTTGAGAGGGGCAGCTTCATCGGCTCCTTTTGCAATGTCACGAGAAAGGCACGGGAACATAAAACATTCTTCAGCACTAATCCAATCTAGCCGAGTTTAAGATAAAGAGAGAAAATAAGAGGAAAAAGTAAGAGAGTATATTTACCTCCGACTCGAACGCTGCCAGCTGCCTCTTGCCCAAGTTCTTCACCAACGGCACCAGCTTGGTTATACTTTTCCTCTGCCATGCCAAGAATGGGAGGATAGACGGATACGCACTGTCCATTGTCCTTCCTAGTTAGAAACCCCTAAGAGTGTTTGCTGCGATAACTCAAGAAAGAATTATTGTGGGTAAAAAGATGTTTATAATCCTGGGAAGCAGGATCATACTCCACCACTTCCAACAATGATTGAATGAAAGCTTCAAACTTTTTCAGCAGTGTCCCTTAATACTCCAACATGGGTGACGATATGGTTGACATTCTCGTAGTGCTAAAAAACCTTAGTGTGGCAGCACCCTCGCCCCACATAGCCGTGGTAGCTTCATTAATGTAAGGCCACATAGTCTTATTCCAATCTGTCTTGTCCAAAGAAGGAGTACAAGGCACATCCTGATCATAACCAAATTGTCTCACAACTCTCTCCAGACAATAGCACTCTAAACTCCACGTCCCTCACCATGTAATGCATGGCAACATGGATGGTGCTATCATCGCCAGCGTTTCCAAATGACTTGAGTTCCCTATGGTAAACTCCACAATCTGACTTCCAGGCACCGTTGGGAGTGCCTTGTCAGAGAGGTTCACCTCGGGTGGAGCAAATGTCCTAGGCATTGTCTTGTATGCATGGAAATTAAAGCTGCCATAGTCATCCAAAAGGCCATCAACTTCCAGGATTACTTGTCCCTTTATTTTCCTTTTTCCTATCCAAGAGCAGGCTAATGGAGCTGTTCCACTGGTGTAACCACACTTCATCATGGGATATTTCTTCAAGGCCTTTCCACTAGTAACACGGCCATAATTATACGGGCGAAATCTCTCCCATGCAAACATTTGCAACAAAGACAAACATACATGTGACTCAATGATGTAATAGTTGGCACCGAGAATGTCATCAAAGTGGAGCAAATCAAGCATGTGATAGAGCGTACCTAGCATCAGATAGGCTAAAGGGAGCTTCACACTTTCAGCTAATCGAATTGCTAGAGGAATACACTCAGCCATAATCTTGTGGTTCAGGAAGCCCCCAAAGACAAACTTACTCAACCAAGCCGTAAGGAAAGCTGCACGGACATACGGGCTATCTTTACCTTCGCCCGTTCGAAAGTACTGCATCCAAGTCGAAAAATCAATGCCGTACTCTCCCCTCCATGAGCGAGAAGAGGCACTAGCATTCCTCCTCATCACCTTCTTCAAAGCTACTAGTGTGGCAGGCTCCTTCGGTGTTAACACTATGTGCTATGGATCTTGTTCCCCAATGATAGACAACAACATCAGGTTTGCCACATCCTCTAAAGTCATGCTAACCTCCCCAAAAGCAAGGATAAAAGTATGGGTACTCATGCACCACCTTCTCACCAAATGACGGAGTCACTCTACATTACCACTAATTTGTAGAGTTTAACTCAGAGCTACCGACTTAAGAATCCTGGCAACACGCAATATCTCCACAAAGCCGTTCTCGGCAAACATCTCTTTATCCCAACCCGACCAATCTTCCATCCTTCGCATTACGTCGCATGGCGAAGGAAACCATGCTACATTGATGTCACTCCCTTTGAAAGCCTTAAGCAAAACTAGATTCTTTTGCTTTTCAAGTGCCTTCTTCACTGACCAAGCATTGAATTCCAAAAAGCCATCATGAAAGTTGTACCACGGGTCATGGTACGACTGCACACCGTCGATTGGATAAGGATTAGTCATCTCCTAAAACTTTCTACGGAAAGAAATGAGGAGACAAAACAAAGATTTAGATTAATAGAAGCACAAGAAATTTGCAGCATGCAACCACAAAAAAAAAAAAAAAAAAAAAAAAAAAAACGAAGCAAAGAAACAAGGATCCATCACTACCTCGGTTAGAAAAGGGATTTTGTCATATTTGCACACTAGATTAACCTTCTCGAGAAGGATCCGGTCACTTTGTTAAGGAATCTAGAAATTTGATAGAAGAAGATGATGAAAATCGGGGATGTAGAAGAAAGAGAGAAGGGTTCAACAATTTTGTGGAAAAGGAAGAAAGGGAAAATTGAAAGACTCACTAAGGAAGGAGGAGAACGGTAGAAAGGGAAATTAAAGGCAGCATTAAGTGCACCAGCCAACCACTTCGCCACCTGTCGCTCATCAACATGGCCAACAATTATCAGAGGGATGGCAAGTAAGGTGCACATTGCCTTGATGCATATTCATGTATGCAATCTCCTTTAAAAATCTTCCCTTTTTATGTGCCCTCGTAACGGGATTTTTAGGGAAGGTTCAATTTTTTTATTTTTTCAAAAGGGGAGTTACTTTTCTTTATAACTGTTGAAAACCTCCCTGGGGAAGAGCTTTGGACTTTCCTTCAAATCTAAACTGTAATGAATAGCATTCAAAAAAAAAAAAAAAGAGAGATCTACAGTGATTGCTCAGAACGTATTATTTTTTTGAGAAGAAAGACAGTGCAACTCGTGCAAGAATCTTGGTGAGGATGCGATCGAAAGCTTGTTCACTATACTCATATCTACAGCAGTTGGAATCACTACCGCCTAGAATTTTACTTCGGCCTTGCTTGGCTCACATCTGTGCTGAAACCCCGTCAATAGCATTATAGCCCACGCCTTACTCATCAATAGTAGCCAAGGTCATACTGGACTCACCTATGCTTGTTACTATTTTACACAGCCAAGCTTAACACAACTTGGCCTCTGTCGAAATTATTTCACCATCAGCAGCTTACCTAGTTGGAGCCAAGTCTGGTAATCCTAAGTCTTTCAAATCACATCTGCTTTGACAAGGGGACCCACATTGATTATCTGGTTTCTATATCATCCAAGCATGCTCATGGTGATATGGAGAATGCCTTGCTAATCTACCTCCCTCAACGCCAAGCGACCAAACTTGTTGTTACAACTTCGTCCACTTAGGGGGCTAATGTTGAGGGATGAATTTCTATGGTTACATCACCAATGACGTGTGCGGATCCACATTAGCAAAGGCCCACGACTCTCATTTCCCACATCAGACGTGCAGTTCCTATTTTCCACTAATTGCTGTAATGGAATCAGCATCGCCAGAAACGACACTAATGCACTTCATTGGAGACATCGCAGAATGAAACCTACTCCAGCATCTATTTTCACATACATGGCCAGACATAGCTAGATCTATTTCGGTGACATGATTGGGCATTTCTTGATGGTTATGTCCTTTGCAACGATATTCACTGTTGTATCCTGTGGCTCCCAACAATGGATAAAGAGCCTACTTTACTACATGGCTTCCGTCAAAGCACAACAATATGATCTACATAGCTCCCCGTGATGGGCAACAAGCCAAGCATCTATCTCTACATATCTCTATCACTGGTTTCCATCAATGACAGTGGGATGACCCTATTACATCTACATAGCTTCCAATGATGGACAATTGGCCAAATTTACTATCTCATCTAGCCTTCAACAATGGGCAACAGGCTACGCATTTCCATATATCTTATTACATCAGCTCCCAGCAACAGACAAAGGGTCGGATTTCTGCATATTCTATCTCACTGACTCCCAAAGATGGACAAAGAGTTAGCGCAAATCGGTATGATTAGTGTGAAGCCAGTAACAGTTACAACCCTGTGATCGGATGGGATGGCTACCCTCCAGTGATAAAAATCCACCATGTCAAATGAAATCTATAGCATATTTCTTCATGCTTGGCCAATAATAACCATGAGCTAAAAGTTGCTCATACAGCTTTCTCCATCCTTGATGTTCGTTGCATTCCCCCACATGCATTTCAACCATGACTTTCTAAGATTTTGTCAATGATAGGCAGTGAAGCGGCTCGCTAGCGAAGCTGGTACGAAACAAAACTTTTCCATCCATGAAAAACTTCGACAAAGATATTTTTAGATTGTGTGCATCCTTCAAAGACTCTGGCCATATTCCCTCAACGAAGTACTCCATGTAGGGATGGCACCAGTCTTGAACACTATCAACAGAGAAGCATTCTTTGTTTTGATAGTAAGTCTGTTGACAGGATACACATTGCTGCTGAAATTCAGTGGATTGTCGAGCCATGTCTGGCCAATAATACCTTACTTGCTGGATCCGGTGTTAGAGGCTCACACGGCTATTGTGACCACAAGTGCGATCATGAATTTCCCTAAGTTTGTGATAAGCCTCCTTATCGCTGATGATGGCCAAGATTCCGCTAGGGAGGTGATAGTATAGCTCACAAGAAATAATAACATAGCCAAATAGGTCCCTCAAAGGCATGCTAGAGTTTTGCTATTGTAGGGCGTTATAAGTTTCATACTGCCAGTCAAGATGGTCAGGTAGCTCAAGCAAAACAGATTCGTAACCTGGGTAGATAGGTTGCTCTTTGCGAATAATCTGGACACTGAAAGAATTCTCGGCCATAGGCACTCTTGAAGCGATTATGGCTAAGGCATTAGCCAATCGGTTCTCCATCTACTGTACCTGCTCGTATCTTATGCTGGCGAAGGACTGCTCCAAGTGTTGGCTAAAAGAACAATATGGCGTGAGTTGTTCTTCTCGAACAGCGAAGGTACCTTGAACTTGGCCAAGGATCAAACCTGAATCGCCAATGATTTTGAAGCGCTGCACACCAGCCTTTTTAACCATAATGAGGCTAATAAGATAAGCCTTGTACTCTACAGTGTTGTTCGTGCATTGAAAATCAAGCTTGAATGAAAGCACTATATCATGGCCATTGTCATCTTTGAGAACAACGCCAGCCTTAGCCCTTTTAGCCGTGGAAAAACCATCGAAATATAATGTCCATTCTTCCTAAATTTCCTATGTAGTAGCAACCTCACCGCCTAAGACTTCGTTTGAAAAAGAATACTGGACTTCGCCACAGAACTCAGATAGCAAATTTGCAATAGCTTGCCCTTTTATGGCAGTGGGATTAATGCATGTAATATCATATTGAGACAATTGAAGGAGCCAGTTAGCAAGATGGCCAATAAGCATGTGCCATGTTAGAAGGTACCGAATAGGTTGAGACTTGGATATGAGTTGTATCTTATGAGCTAAGAAATAATGTCGAAGGCGCTAAGATACATAAATTAATGCAAGGCAAATTTCCTCAACAAAAAGGTACCTTGATTCGACGCCCTTGAGGTTTTTACTAACATAATAAACCAGCTGTTCCTTGCCTTCGTGGTTATCTTGGGCAACCAGTGCACTCACAGTTTTGTCAGAAGTAAACAAATCGACTTTAAGTGGTCTGCCTTGGATGGGGACAGATATGGTCAACAATCTAAGCATGAGATCCTGCAGATGTGAGAAGGCATGTCGTTACTTCGCTGTCCATACGAAAGTAGCTCCTTTCTTCAGCAAAGGGCTAAATGCAGATAATATTTCTGCCAGTGAAAGGATGAATCTACGGATATATAAGACCTTGCTAATGAAGCTATGTAGCTGTTTGAGATTCTTTGGTGGCTGCATGGCATAGATAACTTCAGACTTGGCCAAATCCATACTGATACCGTGTTTACTCACAAGGAAGCCCAAGAATTTCCCAGCAGAAATACTAAATGCACATTTCACTAGATTCATTTTCAGCTTGTATAGACGACATCTATCCAAGACTTTCCTCAACACATCAAAATGGCCCTGTCTTGTTTTGAATTTCACCACAATATCATCAATGTAGACTTCAATATATATGTGGATGAAATCATGAAAGATTGCTACCATGACTCATTGATAAGTAGCCCCAGCAATTTTGAGTTTGAAAGGCATAACAGTATAGTAAAAATTACCAATAGGGGTATGAAAAGTAGTCTTCTCTGTATCTTTAGGGCACATACTGACTTGATTATATCCACTGCTACCATCCATGAGAGAGTATATCTCGCAGCCAGCAATAATGTCCATTAACAAGTCCATGTTTGGGATAGAGAATTCATCTTTGGGGCATACCTTGTTGAGGTCACGAAAGTCAATGCAGCACCTAATCTGCCCATTCTTCTTTCAAACTAATATAATATTGGCCAACCAAGTCGGCTTCTTTATTGGTTTGATGAATCTTGCAACCAAGAACTTCTCAACTTCTTCTTTAATTTTCAAAGTAACCTTTGGATGGAAGCCGTGATTTGGCTACACAATTAGCTTCATATTAGGATCAACACTCAAAGAATGTGCCACCAAGGTTTGATCAAGCCTCGACATTTCATCATAGTTCTAGGCGAAAACATCCGTATATTCTCGGAGCAGATAAACCATTTTGGGTCTTTCATCCGCAGAAAGAGTGGTGCTAATATGTACATGCCTGGGGTTCGTTGGATCATCTCCAAGATCAATAGCTTCAAGGGACTCTAGAGAAATGAGTGCTGATTAAGCTTCATGAAGGGTTGGCAGCTCGTTGGGCGGTATTAGATGATCAGCTTCGCTAGAGAAATCTAGATGTTTAGCAAGTATCTTATTTTTAACCTCAAGAGTGAGTCATTCTGCTTTGTTGGAGAGATCTCATTCATCAATTGAAGTATCTCTCTTCGAAGGGAAGAATAAATGATCCAAAGACATGGCTACACTACTGGCAATAAGGCCATCTCGTGCATGGCCGAGAGGCGCCACGCGCCTTCATAAAGTATACTTGATCCTCTCATTGGAAAGAATAGTTCGAGTGCACTTTAGGCGCACTTAGACAGCCTTTCCTACCTCATTTTTCTGCCTCTTATGTTCCAGGACACTTCATAGATCAAGATCAAGATTATCTTTGATATCATTCCATGCTGGCAGGACAATGCCACTCGAGCGAGAATCTGTCGCTTCCCTAGAGGGGGCGAATTCATCGTAAAAAGCAGCTTTAGCGAAGTGGGTCTCAGTCTGATCAAATGGCAACGAGTTGGCAGAGATGTGAAAAACCTTCCCATTTAGACGACCTTTGACACATTGATGATAAGTAGAAGGGACAATTTTATGTCAATTCAACCATGGCCGTCCTAGCAATATATGATAAGAAACTTTCGTATCAATAACATAAAGCATAGTTTGAGATTGGACTGGATCGACCTTTAATTCAAGCTGAATATATCTAAGGGCGTGCTCACTATTGTTGTCAAAGCCAACAATGTTGAGTAGAGACCTGATGATTCTTCGTTAAGAGATTCCCACAGCAATGATGGTGCTCAGCGGTATCAGGTTGAGAAAGGATTCTATATTAATAAGTGCACGCTTAACATTGACAGAGTTGATTTGAGCAGATAAGTAAAGAGGCTTTCTATGATCAGGATATGGTGCCTCCATATCTTCATTAATGAACGTGACGGCATTGGAAGATTCATGACAAGCATGGCTGGCATGTGCTTCAGCATTGAGACATTCTCCTCCAGCCTTATTGGCGATGGAGAGTATGGCCTCTATGGCTCTTCGTCGTGCGTCAATAATGAAACCAAGCTAATCAAATAGCATCTTGAACTTTGGAGTTCGTTGGAATGCACGAACAAAGAAGTTGGGCATATCGTCAGGGAATTCAACTATTGGCTTGCTTACTCTAATGCTTTCCACATGAGTGGGAACATTAATAGCACCTTGATTGTGGTGTGGGAGAATATCTTTGTCCACCCTCTGTCTCCTGTTTGGCGCTTCTAACAGTCTTTCTAAAACCCGTCGATGATACATCCTTCTTAAGGAAAAATAGTCCATGGTCACATGGTGGACAAAGCGATGGTAGCGACAATACTTGGAGTTGCACTTGTCATCATCGTTGGGCTCACGATGTGCCTAAGGTAGTGTGATGGCACCATTAGTGATCCACCGATCTAAGAGCACGTCAAGTTCTTTGATAGTGAGAGGAATATGTGGTGGCGGTGGTGTGTCACGATCCCTCTTTTTCTGTTCTTGTCTTTGGCCTCGGATAGAGGCAGTCAAGGTGTGAGCAACGGTTTTCTTTTCTGTCGACTTCGCTGCAGACTTCCCAATAGAGATGGCTTTGGCGGCATTGGGTAGCCTTGCAAACTAGTTGATCCTAATGTTTTCGAGGACAGTGCAATATTTCGGAAACATGTTGCTGATGCAAATTTCCACTAAGAAGGACTCAGCATGGCCATCATAGTAATCAAGTGCCAAATCCCTGAATATTTTCACATAAACCATTAAATCTTCACCAGCACATTGGTGGGTGTTGTGGAGATCAAGGATGGTGATGCGCTCTTCACTTTGAAAATATTTTTGACAAAATTGTTCCACCATCTCATCCTAAGAACAGACAGAGGCGAGAGGCAAAGTGGTGTACCATGTATAAGCTTTATTGGAGAAAGACTTTGAGAACTCATGTAAACACAAATCTCTGTCATCGGTGTGAGCCCCCATGTCATCAATGAACTTGTTGACGTGCTCCACAGCACTGCCTTTCCTTCCATTGTACTGCAAGAATGCAAGACTTTCATATTTCTTTGGAGATGGCCTGGACAGAATCTCCTTTGGACAGGGTGGGTCACAAATGAATTGAAAAGGGATTGTTCCATGTTTGGAACGCTTCCTATCCGAGAAAGCAGTAAGGTTTGCCATGGTGACATAACCTTGGGTAGAATCGGCTGCATTGGGTAGAGCTCCATCGGTATTGGTAGCTACAACTACTGGTGGTGTCGAGTTGTTCGGCTGCACAGCAGAATCTCTGTTACTATTGGTAGCCCCAGTATGGACTTCTTGTGGTTGGAAAGTTCCAGCCATATTGATGGGTTGTGCTGGATCCTGCGTAGCATCTTGGGTTTGTATGTTGGTGAGGAGCTAAGTAGTCCTTTGTTGGTCTTCGTGCAGGACTCGGATAACTTGAACTAGGGATGCAAGGCTAGGATTGGTGATTCCTTGCAAGAGGTCACTAAAAACATTTGTTGATGGGCGCAGCTGTTGAACCTTCCGTCCATCATCTTGGCCAGGCGCTTAATTCCTATCAATAATGCAAGATGAGGTTGCCCTTGTGATAAGCATGGGTGGAAAAAGTTTGCTGAAGATAAATAAATAATGCTGAGGTAGAATGCTATAGATATTACACCGCTGAAGAAGAGCAGAACATGATGAAGCTTTAGGATGACCTCCCCAATGGAGTTGCCATTTTGTTTGGAGGTGTTGGTGATGTAGGTGGATGAGTCAGCAACTGTGATGACGTGGAGGCTAAGTAGAATGACACTCGAGAAAATGAGGGGGGTTCTTTCGGTGGCACCCATCTCATGTGTGGAAAGCTACATGCTATGGGCCATCCCATCTATTGGGTGATGATATCTTGCAATGAACTTCTCCAGCGATGCTTTAAAAAAAAAGGATAAATCTTCTAGCCAAGTCGGTAAAGCTGGGTGGCAATGGCGGGACCCTAAGGATTCAAGATGATTGCACAACTACCAAAAACATGATGGGGAAAAGTTGTGTGCTGTTAAGGAGAGGCAGCAAAGATGGAAAATACATGTGGTTCAAAGATTACAACGTGAGGGTCACATTCATACATAAATCATTGTAACATGGTAATAATGACAATAAATGCGACCTCTTTTATCTCTAGTGTATATCCTTACTCCATAACAAACAATTCTCATATTGAAAACGAAAAGCGTAGCAACTCCACTCTTGAAATTGAAATTCTTCCAAAGACAAGAGGATAAACCTGAGAGTGGTGATGGGAGAATGAAGGGTGACCGCTTGGGAGCTTATGAATAGAGCACTTTATCTCGTTTTTAATGCTAACCTTGCAACCTTGATCATTTGATGCTCAAGAAGAACTACCCGGAAGCTGAATCTGTAGCCTGTTGCTTCCTAGCCATAATATTCTACAAGTCTAGAAATGTTCTGCGATGCTGGGTGATATTCTACAGTGCTGGAAAATGTTTTGTAGAGCTAGACATAGGAAATCCGAAAAAATGGTGACTTCTGGGGGTTTTAGTGTGCAGGGCAGTAGGTTGAAGGTGGATATTTTTTAAAGGAAAAATGGGAGCTTCGGTAAGTGAGGAAGAAAGGCTGAAGTTATATCTTTGTTTGTTTTTGTGCTATATGAGTCTATATGTGTTCTGGAAAATGAAGGGCAGATAATATATATATGCAGTGGCATTGTTGTAATTTCTGGTTGATGGCTTAGAGGTGTGCAGATTGGTTTGGGTAAGCTGTCAAATTTTCAGTGGCTCTGAGCATTGTTGGCAGCTCTACAACAATGGCATCATGAATTGCCCAATGGTCCCAACGAAGCTTCTTTGGTTTTGGCGAAAAACTAAAAATTATATATTTATGGCAATGCCTCCAGCTATACGAAATCCCATTTTTAGGAAGGTGCTTGAGTGCAACCAGTAAAAACAACACCTGCACATGATTTGGTAGGTTCTCTAAGATTTGCATAGGATTTTGGAGGATTCTGCAAGCAAATAGTAATCTTTTGCAGCAGTTTCCAAGGCCATGAAACTTGTGTAACCACCTCTGTATTAAATATGGCTACAAGTTGCTGATGGTGATCAAGATAGCATCTCTGCTTAGTTTTCTTAACAGGATTTCCAACCTTTGGTTAGTATCAAATGGTACTGTTCCGAGCATCAAGTTTGCTCCCAAGTCTTCGCCACCCAACCCTTTCTGTCAAAGTTGGGCAACATCACCAATGCCAAGCTTCGCTGGTGCAGATGCCTTGCTTCGCCATACGGGCAACGTTCACCTATCCATGCCTGCCAAGTCACTACCCCTATAGTTTATCCCGAATAATTCCCATGAGATTGGATTCATGGGCTTGTGTTTATCTGTAGCAATAGCAAAGCACATGTGAATATATGTTCAAGTATTTAAGCATAAGAAATGTATAAATATATGCAACGAAGGAGGGAACGCCCTTGTGTATTAAAGGGGGCTAAGTGGATGAATGTTCGCTGTTAACATTTATTTGTTGGCCATCGCAAGCGCCAGTATATTGCTGTTGTACATGGCTAGCATTGCACCAGGACGAGGAACAAGTGATATGGGTGTGTACTGCGATATCGTTGTCCTAACCAAGGCTTCATTGGCCGGCGATACCTGCTAGCACATAAGACATAGAAAATATGTGTTATGAGTCGGGATTATCGACGATTGGTATTTTTGTCCCTTTGTGCAGAAGAGTAATAATGTGCATGACCTCCGGCAATGTTATGTACATATTGTGGGGTCAGCCATGAATAGCTTCTCCATGGCCAAAGGGACAATAGTGGCTAGCTTTGCCCATGGCTATAGTGTGAACTATGTGGAATAGGAAGAGCACTCCCGCTAATCCGCCAAGCCATGAAGGGGTAAATCATTAAACCAGATTCCGCCATAGCAATGAACATGTATAGAGAAGGGTAGAGTTGTTTCCATGGAAGAAGGACGCTAGCTCCATCCATGGCCTTCGATATGACAAGGTGTGATACCACTAACAAACGTTGGTCCTTCTTGCCACACCCGCAAAGTCAAAGGGTGGTCCTGGTCGTTGTTGCCCACCAAGCATCGCACTACCATGCACGGGTGACCACCAAGGGACCGCCAACCACTACTTGATGGATTTTTATCGTTGGAGGGTAGCCATCCCTTACGATCACAGGGTTGCAACTAGTACCGGCCTCAAGCTAATCATACCGAGTTGCATTGACTCTTTGTCCATCTCCAGGAGTCAGTGAGATAGAATATGAAGAAATTCGACCGTTTATCTATTACCGGGAACCGGTGTAATAAGATATGTGGAAATGCATAGCCTGTTGCCCATTGCTGGAGGCTAGATGAGATAGTAAATTTGGCTTGTTGTCCATCGTTGGAAGTTATCTAGATGTAATAGGATCACCTTGTTGTCCATTGATGAGAACTAGTGATAGAGATATGTAGAGATAGATGCTTGGCTCGTTGCCTATCACAAGGAGCTATGTAGATCAGATTGCTGTCCTTTGACAAGAGACATGTAGAAAGTAGGCTCTTTATCCCAAGCTTAGAGAATGATAAGTGTGGCTAGAAATATAGAAACATAGCGTAAAAATGGAGGTTTCTTGGGAAGTATGTATTGTTGGAGCTCAAATGAAGAGGAAATAAGTTGCAGTTCTAGTAGCATGTGATGAAGTTGAGACAAAAATGATGAAAAAATGAAATGTATAATAAAATAATTCTTATGTTAAAAATGAATAATATGGGCAAATATATATAGGTTATGGCGTTTTGGTTATTTTGATTATGGTGCTATTAAATATGCTTTAGGTGAGGACATGTGTTAAGTTTTAGGATGATCTAAGTAGCTTCACAAGCCTTGATGTGTAATTGTAATATATCTAAAGTTTTCAATGAAAGACTGTTGGGCCACTACCACCATGCTCATTCTTGGTAATTTTGGGTTTGTATGTTATAACAGTTCAGGGAGTATATTTGAATGCTATCACCAATCTTTCACCTTCCAAGATCTTTGTTGATTTTCCAAACAAATTGTAATCCTTTTTACCAATTGCCAACATGATCAAACTTGTGCAGCTATCCAAACATTAAATGCTAAATAGATTGATGATGGCAATTCAAGATGACACTTTGAATTGGTCTCTAATAAGATTGTGAATTTTCTAATTAGCATTAAACAACTTAGTTTTTGGGATCAAGCTTTGCCTCCACACTTAGGCCACACATCCCTTCTTTATAGAGACAAGCAATAGTGCTAGCCCCAAGCTTGGCTAGCTCAATACTATACTTCGACAAGCAGACAATGTTCTTTCATCCATTTCTACCAAGCAACTACTTCTATAGTTTATCCCAAATAACTTCCATGGGTTTGTAGTCATTTGCATTAAAAAGTAAATACAAGGATGAGTAATTGTTCAAGTATGCAAGTGTAATATATATATATATATGTAATAAGAAAGACTACTCCCTTATGTATCAAAGGGGATGGTATAAGTAGATATTGTTATGCCTCTTTATTCATTTGTCATGGGAAGCAATTGTATAGTATTGTTGTGTATGTCTAGCAATAAGCCATAATAAAGAATGTATAGTATGTATGTGTGCCATACTATCATTTTATTAAGCCAAGTGCCCTTAGTCGACGATACTCATAATTATGTTGTAAGGATTACTAATGACCAATAGTTTTGTCTATTTATATAGAAAGTGTTGTAATGTGCATGACTGCTACCATGTTTATATTGCAAGGAAAGATAGAGATGGCCTCTCATAGCTAAAGGGACTTTAATGGCAATCTTTGCTCATGACTGGAGAGTGAACTATGTAGAGTAAGAAAAGAATTTTTTGAATCAACAAACAAAAACAAATAAGATAATATGGCAAAGAATGAACCACCTATTGATGAGGATCAAGATGACAACACACATACAATGTCAAGTGATCCATTGTATATTCAAGGAGATCCGATAATGAAAGCTAAAGTTAAGAATATGTGAGAAGTTGTAAATGCATTTATTGAGGAGATTTGGGTTAAAAGCAACACATAGCAAGTGAAATGAAGCTTGGAAGATCGTCAAGGCTTAATTAACACTATTCAAGTCTAAGAACAACTTATTTGAGATCGTTTGGACCAAATTGCATAGTGTTGAGGGATGAGTTTATATGGTTACATCACCAATGACATGTGCAGATCCACATCAGCAAGAGCCCACAATGCTCACTTCCCACATCGGACGTGCAATTCCTATTTTCTACTAATTGCTGCAATGGAATCAACATAGCCAGAAGCAACACTCAACATTATTCTCTTATATATCGCTAGGAATGGCATTTACCCACTTCATGGTAATGATACAAACATGTCCTACTTCAACAGCATTCCCTTACACATGGCCAGACATGGCTACATTATCTACATAACATGGCTAGGCATTTTTGACGGTCATGTCCTCTGCAGTGATGTTTACTGCTACTTATTTTGGCTCCCAGCAATGGATAAAGAACATATTTTGCTACATGGTTCCCATCAATGGACAACGGGCTAATCTTATTATATCTACACAGCTCCCAGCGAGGGACAAAGGGTCAGATTTACTATCTCATTTAGCCTCCAACAATGGACAAAAGGCTACACATTTCTACATATCTTTATTTCACCGGCTCCCAACAATGGACAAGGGTCAGATTTCTACATATTCTATCTCACTGGCTCCCACAAATGGACAAAGAGTCAGCGCAATTTGATACGATTAGCGTGAGGCCGATAACCGTTGCAACCCTGTAATCAGATGGGATGGCTACCCTCCAGCGATAAAAAATCCATCAAGTAATAGCCAGCGGTCCCTTGGTGGTCACCCGTGCATGGTGGTGCGGTGCTCGGTGGGCAGCAACAACTAGAATCACCCTCTGACGAGGTAGGTACGGCAAGAAGGGTCAGCATTTGTCAGTGGTATCACATCTTGTCGTATAAAAGGCCATGGATACGGCTGGCGTCCCCTTTCCATGCAGACGACTCCACCTTTCTCTA